TTTAATGATGTCTTCCTCACCCGTCACGCCATGACCCAGTTTCAACCACACGGCCATTTTGCAACACAGTTCGTGACCCTCGGCGTCACCCGACTGACTATATGAGCGTTCTGTTCAACTGTTAAGCTAGGATTTATTACCGTTATTATCATTATATTGTCACGTGATTTGTTTTACCTTATGTGTAATGTCTTAAGTATCTTTATTGTAATTTGTATATACCAATTCGTATATACCGAGGAAATGACCCCGATTGAAGGTCATGTATTTTATGACGTCACCAATTCGTGTGTAGGTACTGCTTCTAGATCTGTGCCAATAAATTTGACATTCGGGAAATGCTACACACCATGGGGCAAGAATATTTGGGGAAATTGAAACCCCAAACACGCAAATTTGTCAAGTTTGCGCTGGTGGATTGATTATAAATATGCCTGTATATGGATGTACAGTGTAGTGATGTTCAGTTGACGTCAAAGTCATTGATTTTCCCAATTCACTGGAAAAATGAAAACCAGAAATCAATCTCGTCTCCCAAATCTGCCAGTGTTTACATTTACAGCAATCTGTCATTTTGACATCAATCTCTTTGTCGATAGAGGACATGATGGTGTAATAAATAAAGAAAATCGGACAACTACTGACCTAAAACTGACAAAAATTAACCTTAGTTCCACCATGTTATTATTTCTACACGTTAATTTCACCAAAACCTCGACAAATTATCAAGATCTGATGTTTAGACTTCTCCATGATGTGTTTTTATTGAACAGAATCACGAAACATGTGAATGAGTGGTAAACGGTGAATCAAAGAATATTTTAAACCACTGTTTCCAACACCTAATAAAATATTCGATGAGTGATCTTAGCAACTAAGACGAGCAAAGAATTCCAAACATCTGAACTCACCGCTTGCTTCTGGTTGTCTTGGTTGAGTTTCCGGCTCTGCCTGAACGGCTTCTGTTTCTTGTGGCATTCTAAAGCGTATGAAATGAAAAAAAAACGTCAACGACAACAACAGAAGATCGTAGTGTGTGTGACAGACATGTAAGCCCCAACATGCAGCCGATCACTTACAAATCAGTATACCGCACTATGAGATACCATCATATTTTCACCACTCATACCTAGCCAAGGAAACAGCATACAGAACAACTACTCGACACAAGTGATCGATCGATATCTCATGTACAAACGACCTCAATAATATTCAACCTGGAGAATAAATATCCGTGGATGAATGTGGATTGCTATACTCACGTTGAAAATTTATTTTCAATCACACGATCAAATTGCAAAATGGCCGCGGCATTCTCTGACCCATGACCCGAAGTTTCGCTCGGCGACCACCAGGTGGCGCTAGCACGAGGTAATTTATTCACCGCAAGTATTTACTGATACTATCTTTCTTTATTATGGATACCGTCGTAATTTTTTTTTTCTTAAATCGTAATTTTGTATCGACGCGGAAGATTCTACAAACTCGTTCTAAAGAAATGTGCATATAAAACAATAAAATTGACACGACTGGGCCAATCTAGTGGCCACCCTATCAACAATATGTTACAGTGTGTCACATTGCATGTAGACATTTTATTATAAACGCTGAAATCAATTTAACCTGCTAATGTAACTTTAGTCATAACCATGTCAGCTTTGCAAAAAAATTGCTAGTTTTCATGAAAATGCGTTGATTAGAGCTCTTTCAATCTTTGGCTAGTTGGGTTATTTAAACCCCCAAAAAATAATAAAATTAAAGTAAATATTTCCACAAATCCAGTTTTGCATTTATTTTGAATAAAACATTACTGACTATTGCGAACAATAGTCTATCAAACTGTTAAAAGTGATATAGATAACATAGATTTATTTTAGTGAAGCGCATAAAACAGAGATAAAGCAATCAAGAAGGCCGGTCCCTTATATACAATGGGAAATTCTCTCCCACAATGCATTGCATATGTGGCGTAACACGCAAATAAAATAAAAATAATGAAAATATTTATTCGTTTTTATTACGATATTTTATGGCATGGAATCCATGCAAAAAATACAGAAATGCATTTCTTTATTATCATAAGCGGGAAACACCTTTCCATGTCAAAGCTAGTCTCGGACAAATACACCTTAAAGCTCGGATTACTGAGTTTACGACAGTGTTGTTTCTAGTTCAAATTTGCGCTATCAGAGTAAGACCAATCATGGAATGTCGATCTCTGTCTTTCTGGCATTACGCCCTCAACGGTATTATCGGCATGTCTTGCTGGGGGCGCACTTAAAGTCACGCGAGTGGAGCGTTGTAGGTAATTGCATTCAGAAAATACCGCATAATGATCTATATCAAACAATACTTTAAAATAAAAATAAAAAGATTATATCTGAACGGATGAAGTAGCAGTACTTTACATTGTATTACCACTCTGATGCGACATACTTGCGTAAGTAAGAGAAGCAACACAAGCAACAGAAGAGTGTCAACTCCAATGACGTTAAAGCAGGAGGGTCGTCACCTGCGCACGCGCGGGAATTGAGTCCCTCGCGACGATAACAACACAAGTTAAAACGCAAAGGCTTATGAGTGGACGCTTGTTTGTAAACAACGACACGCTATAGCCATCTGACACATGCGCAGGTGACGAAT